AAACAAATAGAATTTTACATATGAAAACTTGTAAGACATGGCAAAACAACACTTAGAGGGAAAGTTATAGCTATAAAAGCTTATATTAGGAAAGAAGAAAGGCAGGAAAACAATGATTTAAGTGTCCAAATAAAGAAGTTTAAAAACCTAAAGAAGAACAGAATAAACCCAGAGACAAAAGAAAAGAGATGACAAAGAACAGACATCAATCTACATGCTAAATAGAAGCAGGGCAATTATCTCCTAAAACAGAACTTAAATATGATCAAGTCTACTTACATAATAACCAAAATGTCCAGGATGCAATTTAAAAAGTCACTAATCATACCAAGAAACAGGAAAATTACAATTTAAATGAGAAAAACATCAACCAACTTTAATTCCAAGATAAATTAGATGTTGGAATTATCTAACAAGGATTTTTAAGCCATTGTCATAAAAATGCTTCAATAACTAATTATGAATTATTTTGAAACAAGTAAAAAAACAGAATATCTCAGCAAAAAAATAGAAGTTATAAAGAAGAATCCAATGGAAATTATAGAACTGAAAAATACAGTAACCATTACAAAAACTCACTGATGGACTCAATAGAAAGATCGAAATGACAGGGTGGAATCAGTGAACTTGAAGACAGCTCAATAAATTTAACTCAGCCTGAACAACAGAGAGATACTAGACTGAAAGAAAATAAGGAGAGCCACAGGGATCTGTGGGACAATAACAAAAAATCTAATGTTAATATCATTGCCGTATTGGAAGTAAAGGAAGAAAGAACATGGACTGAAAAAATATTTGAAGAAATAATGGCTCAAGAAGCTGAGCGAATCGAGAACACAATAAACCCAAACAAATCCACACTAAGACTTCTAAAAACTGAAGCAAACTTCTGAAAATTAAACACAAGGAAAACAAATCTTTAAAAAACAGCTGGAGAAACAAGGAACACTAATTTGAATGAGAGTAGATTTTATAGGTGAAAGCACGGAGGCCAGAAGGAAGTGGCACAACATTTTTCAAGTGTTGAAAGAAAAGAACTGCTAATCATGAATCCTATATCTGGCAGAACCATCCTCCAGGAATAAAGGGGAAATAAAGACATTCTCAAATGAAGGAAAACTAAGGGAATTTATTGCTACCCTTAAAAAAGAACGGGTAGAGGAAGCCCACCAACAGAAAGAAAATGATAACAGAAGGCTGGGGCCTCCAGAAGGGAAAGGAGAACAACAGAATGGGTAAAAATAGAGGTAAACATAATATACTATCCTTGATCTCATGAGTTTCTTTAACCACATTTTATCATTGAAACAAGAATTATAATACCATCTAATGTGGTGCTCAATGTATGTAGAGGAAAATTCTTTTGTTTTTTAAGCTGCAGTACGTGGTTGTGCATCCTAGTTGTTAGTTTCTGTTCTCCATGTGAGCTGCCACCACACTATGACAAGTGACAGATGGGTGCTGTGGTTCCATGACTGGGAAATGAACCAGGGCTGTGGCTGTGTTATAACCAGAGTCTCACCCACACCTGATTTAAATGATGAGATTTTTGAATTTTTGAGCAGATAAGATTCAGAGGAGATTTTGAACTTTGAATTGACGCTGTAATGGGTTGAGACTTGGGGGGATGTGGAGATAGGGTGAGTGCATTTCACATGTGGGACAGCCATGGATCTTTACGGGTTAGAGGATAGACTACGGTAGGCAGAATAACGTCCTCCCAAAAATGTCCACATCCTAATTCCTGGAACCTGTGAATATACCACATTACATGGCGAAGGAGAATTAAGGTAACTGATGGAATTAAGGTTGCTAATCAACGGACCTTGAAAAAGGGAGATTATTCTGGATTATCCGGGTGGGCCCAGTGTTATCATGAGGCCTTAAATGTGGAAGAAAGAGGCAGAAGAGTCAAAGTCAGAGTGAGTCAATGTAAGAAAAACTTCACCCATTGTTGCTGGCTTTGAAGATTGAGGGAGAATGCAAGTCAGGGAACGTAGGCAGCCTCTAGAACTCGGAAAAGGCAAGAAAATGGACCCACCCCTAGAGCCTCCAGAAAGGAATGCAGTCCTGCCAGCACCTTGATTTTAGCCCAGTGAAACCCATGTCAGACTTCTGACCTCCAGAACTGTAAGATAATAAATTTCTGTGGTTACAAGCCACTATGTTTGTGGTAATTTGTTACAGCAGGAACAGGAAACTAATATAGACTTTATATCAGATGATATTCTTGTATTCATACTAAATTTCTTGGGTTTGATAATAGTATTGTGGATATATAGGAGAAAGTCCTGGTGCTGAGGAGATACATGCTGAAGTAGAGTGAAGTACTATGGCATCTGCAACTTTCAAATGATTCATTAAAAAAAATCGTATATACATATATAATGATTTTTAAATGTCTGTATGCACGTGCATGTATTTACATCTATGCACACAGAGTGCAAATGTGGCATTGGTAAATCAACATAAAAGATATATGAGAGTTCCCTATAATATTCTCGCAACTTTTCTCTTAGTTTGACCTTTTTTAATTGGGGCGATGGGGCCCTACATTTTAGAGGTACATACAGAATTATCTAAAAACAGTATTATATGATTTCTGATATTTAATCCAGTGGTGGTTGAGCAGAAGGTGGATAGGTACAAGAAGGTTTGGCACGAGCTGCTATTTTTGAAGCTGTAGGTGGGTACACAGGGATTCACCATACCACTCTCTTTAGTAGAATGAACTGGAGTTCATTTGTATATGTTTGTATACAAACTCTCTTTGTATACATTTGAAACTTTGCATATGAAAAGTTTTTAAAGGAAAGAGAAAAGATACTCAGCCCAGAAGTTTTATCAGTGAGTTCTACAGAACTTTCAAGACAGATCATCTCAATCTTATACAAATTCTTCCATAGAATAGAAAAAGAGGGAATATTCCCCAACTCATTCTGAGGTTAGTATAACCTTGACATTGAAACCAGAACCAAAAAAAAGGTAGAAAAGAGGAAAATATCAGGCAAATCACACTCATGAACAGAGATGCGAAAATCCCAAACAAGGTATTAGCAAAGCAAATCCAGCAGTATATTAAAAAAGATGATACACCATGACTAAGTTTTGTTTGTTCCAGGAAAGCAAAGGTGATTTAACATTAGGAATCTATCAATGGAAGCGGATAGGAGCTTCTAGGGTGCTAACAATGTTTTGTTTCCTGATCTAGTTGCTAGATACATGTGTGTTCAATTTTTGAAAAGTCATCAGGCAATACACTTATGATTTGTGCATTTTTCTATATATAAGTAATATATCAATTTTTAAAGTTTTAAAAAAGCACATCATTTGCCACATTAACAAATTAAAGGACAAACTCATGACCATATCAATAGATGCATAAAAATCATATGATAATATTTGCATCAGTTTATATTTTTCAAATTATTACACTAGGGATAGAAGAGAACTTCTTTAATCTGCTAAAGAACACCTACCAATGTCTGCATTCCCTTGTTCATTGTAGCATTATTCACAATGGCCAAGATATGGAAACAACCTAAGTGTCCATCAATGGATGAATGAATAAAGACATAGTGTATACACACAATGCAATATCAGCCATGAGAAAGAAGAAAATTCTGCCATTTGTGACAACATGGATGGACCTTGAGGGCATTATGCTAAGTGAAATTAGTCAGACAGAGAAAGACAAATACTGCATGATATCATTTATATGTGGAGTCTAAAAAAGCCAAACCCATAGAAACAGAGAGTAGAGTGGTGGTTACCAAGGGCTGGGGGTTGGAGGAAATGGTGAGATATTGATCAAAAAGATCCTAAATTTGGGGGCCAGCCCTGTGTCAGAGTGGTTAAAGTTCCTTGCATTCCGCCTTGGCGGCCCAGGTTCACAGTTCGGATCCCGGGCACAGACCTACCTATTCTACCCATCAGCTATGTTGTGGAGGCATCCAATACACAAAAGTGGAGGAAGATTGGCACAGATGTTAGCTCAGAGCTAATCTTCCTCAAGGAAAAAAAAAAGGAAGATTGGCAACAGATGTTAGCTCAGGGCTGGTCTTCCTCACCGAAAAAAAGATCCTAAATTTATAAGGAAGTGCAAAGTCCAAGAATGGCCAAGATTCTTCTGAAGATGAAGAACAAGTGAGGAGGGGGAGGAGTTGCTTTTTCAGACAGAAAGGTTTATTATAAAGCTATAAAAATTAAGACGGTATAGTGTTGGCAAAGGAATAGATAAATTAATCAATGGAAAAAATAGGGAGCCCAGAAACAGACTTATCCAAATATGGAACTTTGATATACGACCAAGATGCCATTGCAGATAAACAGGGAAAGAAAGAATTATTCAATAAAGGGGGCTGGGCAATTAGTTATCCATATGAAAATAGATCCCTACCTCAAAGATGCAGAAAAATCAATTCGAAATAAATTAAGAACTTAAATGTGAAGGGCCAAACTTAATTTCTTGGAGGGAATAAAGGAGAGCATCTTTTGGACTTGGGGGTAGAGAAGGATCTCTTAAGCAAGGCACAAGAAGAATCAACCCTAAGGAACCCCTACACATCAAGAAGAAAAAGAGACCCAAGAAAACCCATAGACATTTTACAAAAGAAGCACAGCCAATACACATAAGAAAAGAAGCTCAAGCTACTTAGTAAGCTCTAATTTGTAAGGCCCTTCATTTTAAAGGGGAGGAAATTGAGGCCCAGAAAAGGGGAGCGATTTGGTCAGGATCTCTAAATCACTGGCTGAACCCAGGCTGGAGCCCAGGTCTCCAGAGAAAGGGGGAGGAGAAAAAGAATATTCGGGTTCCTCCTAGTTGCTGGGCACGACATTGTCACTTTGCCAGAGACCCTCCTCCCCAACCCCCTGGTCACCTTACCAGGTACACTGTCCATTGCATGCCCCTCCCCTCCCCTCACCCCCACCCCAGACATGTTTGGTCCTCCCCATTCTTTCCACACCTCCACCACCCTCATGGACCACAGGACAAAACAGAAAGGCAACTCTCACTTTATTTGGTTATGTGAAGGGGTCTGGATGTTTGCTCGGTCCAGCTAGATCGTCACTTCCTGAAAGCAAGCAGGAGGCCTAAGAGGATGCCCCAGGCAGGACCCCGACTGGAGGGCTCTGCACCAGCAATCTGGGCCTTGTCTACAATGTTGAGGACCTCACTCACACTGATGCTCCCAATCTGGTTAAAATTTTCTAAAAGTTTGGCATGTTCACGAGCACAGCCCATGAGGAGGAATGTGGTATTGAGAAACCCTGTAAGGAAGAGAAAGAGTAGTCAGGGACACTTTCAAGACTCAAGGGCCCTGCCTCTCCTTCCAGACACCCCTCACAAAACAGGACACCTGCTCTCCCACCAAAGTCTTGGGCACCAGGCACCTTCCTCCTTCCTCCTGAGAATTCACTTGCCTGGTCCCCACAATCCCAGTCCCCTCTCCTGATCCCACCAGCCTCTCTCAGAGATGAGAAGGCACCAGGCAGTACCTGGCATAGAGTAGGTATTTGATAAAGAAAGTTTCTCTCCTCTCACCTGCCCGAAAGCTTAAGGTGGAACTGTAACACTTAGGGGCATTGTAGGGGCAAGAATCAGTGGTGACAAAATTTGGGAGGCAATCCTGAGAGTGCTCGCCCACACAAGTTGGGCAACTATGGGAAGCAAATGCTGTAGTCTTAGGAGCTTTGGCCTTGAGCTTCAACAAAGGATTCAAGTTGGTGAGGTTATTGCAGAGATACGTCCGGCAGACGCGGCTGTAGGAGGCAATGGACAATCCAGGTGGTGAAACGAGGTAGGAGACTTGCTTGGGGTAAGATGAGGCTGGGCTGCAGCCTTTAAAGCCCACAACTCCCCTTCTGTTCCCTGAAGAGCAGATTAGAGAGCTCTGATCAGTATCGCTGGCCACACCCAGAGTCCACCCTCCCACCCTCCGCCCTGCGCTTCCTGCTGGCTTTGCCCCATCACCAATTTTGCCTCTCCCGTGTTCACTCACTGCAGCTGCACAGGGTTCACATCCCCAGGTCTCCATATGTCTCTCCTCACTCCTCTCTCCCTTGTGTCCCACCCTTTTCTTCTCTCCCAGATTTCCCCCCTCCTCCTGGGATCTGCCCACTTCCATTCTGCTCTCTTACTCAGCCCACACCACAAACAGCTGGGTCCTGCCCCTCTCCTGCCAAGGCCTTGACATTATTCCCAAAGACATAATGGGATAAATATCTGGAACTCAAGTCCAGAGTCCCTGGGTGCTGGGAATGGAGCTGGGGGTCAGAAGAGCAAACAAAAAGAAATGGATCAGTCATTCTCCTTCACCTGTCTCGATGAGCACCAGTGTCTCCTCGCAGCCCTCGGCCAGTTTACACACTGCACTCCTCAACAGAAGCCATTTCCAGTGATTGAAATTAACAGCTCTGAAGAGTGAAGATGTTGCTTCATAGCACAAAAGAGCCCCAGCCCCTAAAAAGAGAACGCTCTTCCAGCCATCTGCCCTCACATTGCTTTCTCAGCCCCTGTACTGCCAACCAAGGGCTCAGCCTCCACAGATCCTGTCCCCTGAGGAACCCAGACATCCAGCCCTCCTTCTCCCAGTTATGTGAATCCCATCCCCCACCCTCCAGGGGTCCCAAAGCATCCAGCCCTACAGGACATACGAGGAAGAGTGGAGATGGCCCCCAGGACGCAGAGCAGTTGCACAGGGCTCAAATGCTGGGGTCCCATGGTCCTGTGTCTGGATCCTGGATGCTAGAGGTCAGTCTGGAACCAATTTCAATCTAGGTCTCAAGCGTGCTTCTCGTCAGTCCCTGAATTCTCTGTCCACCTGCCTCTGGGTCACTGTTTCTGGAGGAGAAAATTGATTATCAGTTTCTGCAACAAAGGCCCTCTGAGACCTTCAGGGACACACATCTTTCCATCTCCATAGTCTCTTCTCCAACCTCACTTGAACCCACCACATTAGCTTCTCAGCTCATGACTCTCACTCCCCTGCTTAAGTCCTCCCATTGGACATGGTGCTAAGCAGAGGATCGTGGCTTATTCAAAGGATCACTATTACACAGGCTGTTTTCCAGCCAGAGACAATGAGATGAGAACAACACACGTGTGTGTGGAAGTTAACTGACATATTACTAAATAATAACCCTTGGTTCAAAAAGGAAATTAAAAAGTACTTAGAACTGAATAACAATGAACATACTACATCACACACACAAGTGCGTGTAAAATCTGGTGAAAACCAAATAAGGTCTGCAGTGTAGTTAAGAGTATTATACCAATGTCAATTTCCTGCTTATATGCTCCAGTTATATAAGACGGCCTCATGGGGAAGCTGGAGGAAGGTTTTAAGGGACTCTATACAATTTTTGCAACTTCCTGTGGGCCAATAATCATTTCAAAATCAAAAGTTTTTTTAAAGCTACACATCAAAATTTGGGACACAACTAAAGCAATATTTAAAAGTAAATTTATACTTTAAATACACTTATCAGTGTACAATGAAACAAGAAGCATTAAAAAATATGTTCATGAATTAACTCAAGAAGTTGTATAAAGAGCAGCAAAGCATTTCCTCCCCCCCCCCCAAAAAAAAGGATAGGAAGAAAGACGATGGCAGAAATCAATAAAATAGAAAACAACAACGAAAAATTATTACAAAAAACTAACATTCATTCTTTGACAAGATTAACAAGATAACTCTCTAGCAAATATAATGAAGAGAAAAAAGAGAAGATGCAAATAAAATACAGAATGAAAAACAGAAAGTAACAGACACATCCGATATTTTTAAAATAATAAAAGCATCATTAACAATTCTACATTTATAAATTTGAAAACTCAGATGAAATGGATAAATTTCTAGAAAAACATGAAATGCCAAAATTGTCATAAAAAGAGTACACACAATGCCTTAAACCAACGAGAAGGGCCAAGGATCTCTGGCAAATGGACAAGAAAAAGAGAGCAACCCCAGCGGGAAAATGGACCAGCCATATGAAGAGGCAATTCTCAGAAGAGCAAACCAGAAAGGCTAACAAACATGTGAAGAGACGCTCAAGCTCAACAATAATCAGAGAAATGCAATCTACCAAACTGTACATCTATCAGACTGGCAAAATATCAGAAAGCTGGAAAAAGACAAGCATTGGCAGAAACGCGGGGATACAGGGACCCTTGTGCAATGCTGCTCATGGGGTGGTTGGTGGTGGTAGAGGTGAGGGTGGGGAAACAGGGTCCTCTTCTGGACCCTGAGGAACAGAGGAGTTGAGAGTTCTGATGAGTGTCTCAGGCCCACAGCAGTGTTGCAGGAAAGAGTCTTGCAATACTTAGTCAAATTAGGTTTACAGATACCCACTTCTGGTATATCCTAGTACATATTACAGGGATTTTCACCTTCATCTACAGGGGAATATGTACAAGGACGCAGCATTATCGTGCTGATGTAGAGCTGAAGGCAATGTGAGTGTCCCTCCCTGAGATTTAAAGAACATGAAACACCAGGGATGCACACCACTGAATATCACGTGGCAGTCAGAAGCAATTAATTAGATGTACACACAACGTGTACACGGATGGATTGTAAAAGCACAGTGCTGATCATTTTAATAGTAACACAATATCACTTGCATAAACTAAAACCTCATGCACGTAAAACACTGCACATCTTGCAAGAACATACACAAATCGAAAGATGCGCATTAGCCACCTGAAATGAATGCCTACAGGATGGTTAAGGAACGCAAGTGGGGAATGGGGGTTCCTGGAAATAACTAAAACAATGTAGGTAGTACAAAGTTTATAGGCTTTGGAATCTTTACCCCTCCACTTACTAGCTGTGTGATCTCGTGCAATTTGTTGAATTCGTTTACAAAGTGGATTAATGATACATTTCCTAGGAAGATTGTTGAAAACTAATAAGACTATCAATATAAAGTGCCAGGCAAATGCTAAGCTCTCCATAGACATTGGTTTCCCTGTGTCTGTCTCTCCACTCTAGTAAGAATCAAATTCAACCTCTTTAGTAGGCATTCAAGCCCCCCCCCCACACACACCCCAAGCCCCCTACACTGGTCCCAACCAACCTTTCCAGCTTGGTCTAGTACTGCTTCCCTGCACAGCAGTCCAGCTAGAGGTCACTTCTGCCACCTGTTTCAGTTCAGAATGCTGGACACACAGGCTCTGTAACCCAGAAATCTGTGACAAACAGGTGCCAAGACCTACAGAAAAGATGGCACAGAGGGAGGGGAAAGGAAGGCTAACAAAGATCCTACAAAGGGGTTGAGCCAATCAGGGGAGATAGCACATACCAGCCTGTAATGCAAAACAACAGGACCCAACAATCCGAGCAGAAGCGAGGACGCAACCAGAAAAGGCTGCAATGAAATTCTCAAGGGGGAAAGGATGGAGTTGGGGTTGGAGGGAACGCTATCCCTACAAAAAAGAAACCATACAGAGAAGGAGGAGCAAACTGACGGAATGGAAACTTGCAGGGAGACAGACGACTAGCCGAGAGAGCACAATCAGAGCGACAGAAAAATGAGGAGCGGGGCACAAAGACGGGGCTCCCACGGTTTGAAAGAGGAGAAGATCTCAGAGGGTGAAAGAGAGAAAGGGGAACAACACAGACTGGATGGATGGGGAGGAAAACCCTGAGATGGTCCAATAGGGATACACAGAGAAGGCGATAATTACAGCAAGGAGCCCGAGAATTGGGGAAAATCCTGAGAGATGAACACAGAGGGTGAAAAGACAGAAAAACTAGAGGCGTCTCAGCAAGCAAAGAAAGGCGGGAATGGGATTAGGCTATAAGGGAATGAGGCACCGGGAGAAAGGGGGTCCAAAAATCAGCAGGATGGACAAGCAGAGAGACTCGGGCAGAACCGGAAAATAGAGGTTGGGAAAATTGGCACAGACACGGAGGAGAGAGACACAGGAAACAGGCACAACCTGAGAAGGTGAGACTCAGGAAGGAAACAGGAAAATCACAGGGTGGGGAACGCATAAAAGGAGAAGGGTAGATCGGGAGTTGGGGCACTGGGAGACAAGTGAGAGAAAACACCAGCGTCCACACAGCAAAGATGAGCCCCGAGCAAAGTCCACGCCAAGAGCGCAAAACGCACACCCGCGCAGCGCAGGCCAGAGAGCGAGACTGCGCGTGCGCAAGCAGGTCCAGGTCAACGCCTGGGGGCGGGACCAGGCTGATAGGCAGGGCCAGCCTCGTCCTGGAAGCAGTACTCGACGCCCCATTGGCCACCTCCCCCAGAAAGGGAAGAACTATCTGGAAAGGCAAGCCACAGGGAGAGGACGAAGGAGCGCGAGACTCAATTCGAGGCGCTATTGGCTGGCTTGATAGTCCAGCGCGAGAAGAAGCAGGCCAAGGGCAAGGGGCGGGCCATCAGTGCAGGATCTTGAAGCACATTGGTCGCTTGCCTCCGCGGTAGGAGGTGGTGCTTGAAGCTCATTGGTCCTTGTGAGAAGGGGCGGGAAAACCGGCGTGAGCGCGACCGTTCCTCGCACCACTGCTCCGCCGGTCCTTTCGGCTCCATCCGACTTAGTCTGTCTCCTCGAGGCTGTGGTAACCGCTGGCTGACGACCCCGCCCCTCCCTGTCCCTTCTTCTCCTTTGCTCTTGCGCTGGACCGACCCCCGCCCCCAGGGATCCCACCCCACCCCTCCCCAGCCTACCCGTCACGCTCTTCGCGCCCCTCCTCTCCCCTCCCCCACCCTGCCGGGCCCTCCGCGCGCTCCTTGGGCCCTGCCCCCTCCCGGGCCAGCAGCCCAGTGTGTGGGGGGCCACCTGCTGAGAGGGGTGCACAGGAGGAACAGCCGCATGGGGAGGAGGTGGTGCCCTGCAGGGAGGTGGGATGGCAGCTGTGGAGAGCAATGGTTGGGAGAGGGCAAAGCGCCTGAACTCTGGGCGCAGCATCTGCACGGGTCTGCCTCCAAGTGCGGAGGGCATGTGGGTGCAAGAGGAGTCCGTGCCGTGAGGAGAGGGCTTCTGGCCTAGATCACGCACGGCGTGGCACACGGCAGCGGCTCAGTAAACATTTGTTGAGTGATGGAAATCATTATTGAATGTGGGACGAGAAAGCCATGAGAATAATGTAATTATTGGGGACAAGAGGGAAATTGAATTGTAGGGCATCCCGGAGGGTCAGAATTGAAAGGGAAGCATAAAAATACTCGTAGGAGTCGGACAGATGCGGGAGGGAAGGATGATAATTGTTGAGGAGGATGCCAGGAAAAACTGTTGGGATGGGGTGTTTGTGGAAAGGGGGTGTAGGAATGGTTGAAGGGGACGTGAGAGTGCACGGGTGTGCCTGAAACTGGGATTTGTGCAGGGGATGCAGGTGAGCCAGAGAGCAATGTTTGGATTGAAGGAATGCATAAGAAGGGAAAGAGGAGAGGGCTTCTTGAGACGCGGGTGCACCTGGGAAGGAGGATGCCTGAGGAAGGCAGTGGGGTGAAGAAGGGAGAAAGCCAGGGGAGAAGGGAGGCTGAGAGCTGAGCCCAGAGGTGGGCGGGATGGAGGACCACCTCCCACGTGGCCTCCCAGAGGCAGGAGGGCTGGTCAGCAGAGGGCCACACGGCCATCCTGACCCTCCATTCCTGCCCCTAGATCCATGGAACCCAATAAAATGCCTGCTGTCCACCATTGCCCCTCAGACTCTGCCACAGGGGGTGAGACCGGAGCCCCCCAGGGCACAGAGCTTATCCCCAGGAGAGCTATCAGTCGCTCTCCAACCTGTGCCCGCTGCCGCAACCATGGTGTCACTGCCCACCTGAAAGGCCACAAGCGCCTCTGCCTCTTTCAGGCTTGCGAGTGTCACAAATGTGTCCTCATCTTGTGAGTATGAGATTCAGGGGAGGGAGAAGGATGGGCCTCACCTAAAGGGTGGCTGACTTTTGACTCATAACCCCCGTTGCAGGGAGCGCCGAAGGGTCATGGCTGCCCAGGTGGCCTTGCGTAGGCAGCAGGAGGCACAGCTAAAGAGGCACCTGGCTCAAGGACTGATGGGGAGAGGGGCAGCCCCTCCCAAAGCTCCCAGCCATGTCAAGAAGGGAGCCACTCGACCAGGGGTCTCCCGTGAGTGTCTCTCGCCAGCGATGGGGCAGGGATTTAGGTAGAGAAAGGATAAGTAAGGAAAAGAGTCCCAGTCCTGCTACTGAATTGCTGTGTGACCTTGGGCAAGGTGTTCTACTCTCTGGGCCTCAGCCTCCTCAACTTTAGAATGTGATCAAGTATTGGGAGGATGCAGTGAGATCTGTGGGTAGCAAGGGGCCAGGGGGAGATAAGAACTCAGTTTGGGGTTGGAGTGGGATGGGGGTCGAGAAAGGGCTCATGAAAGCTCTCCCTGGTCCCTCACAGCTGGAAAGGAGAACATAGCACCCCAGCCTGAGAGCCCCCATGGGGCAGTCCCACAGGCACTGACACCTCCTGGGAAGGTAAGGAGAGCCTGGGCCCTGATATAGTGACTCGTATCCTAGCTCCCACCCAGACCCCTTCCTCCATGCCCTCGACACCTGCATTCTAGGTCCAGCCCTGCTTGCTATATCATCTTGGGCAAATCACTTCTCTTCCATAAGCAAAATGAGGGGTTGGGGTGTTACGGCCTTCCAGGCTCTGAATTTTGGGGATCCTATCCCTATCCTAGAACACACCCATTCCTTCACCAGCCTTGTACCTGACTCCAACCTGTGCTCTCTGCCTTTGCAGAATTCCCAGGGACCTCCGCTGCTCAGCCGTCCCCCAGAAGCCTTGCCTTTGCCCTGGACTCCGGTGCGTCTAGGCCCTAGGGCCCCTGGACACTGGCTGCCTCCAGGCCTTTCCATGCCACCCCCAATGGTGTGTCGCTTGCTATGCCAAGAACCTGCAGTCCCTCTGCATCCCTTCCCTGGTAAGATGAATTCAACATTCATTCAACAGATATTTCAATGCCTGTGTATCATTGTAACAGAAAGAGAAGAGGAAGAAGATACAGGGTAGGAAGATGGACAACGGAAGCCATGACCTCTGACCCCTATACACTCTGCATTCTCTTACCCTCATTAGGCTTTGACCCTGGCACCTCCATCCGGCTACCCACTCTTGGACCCCTCCCAACCTGCCCAGAATCTCGCCCAATACTGATGGCTCATCTTTCTGGAGAATCCCAAGGGCCCTCTGCCCTGCCCCACACGTGAGTAGGGAGAGAAGGATATGTGTTTATCATGTGCCTAGTCTTGTGCTGGACACCATACTAGAGGATAAAGAAGGAAAATCTCAGACTAATAGGTCAGGCAGAGCTCTCCTAGCTCTGCCATTGCCTAGCTATGAACTTTTGTACAACTATCTTTACCTCTTTGAGCCTGATTTTCTATCAGAAAATTAGAGACAGTATTACCTACCTCTCAGGTTGTCACAAGAATTAGCAATAATGTATGGAGTACACCTAGCACAGGCCCTGGCCTTGAACAGGTAGTGGCTATTAAATCCACTTAAAGATGGGGTCAAATTGCCTGTAAAATTGGGTGTATGAGGGTGGCAGCCTCAGAGGCCAAGGAGAGCGGCTAGAGGCCATTACAGAAAGCTTTCTAAAGGTGGGCCAAGCTGCTCCTCAAGTTCCATGGGGATTGGGGAGCTGGGGGAAGGGAAACCAGACTCTGGTAGGACAGGAACAGTCATCCCATCCCCCCTAGATGTTTTATCAGTTTTAAAAAACTGACACCAATGATTTCCCATCATCCTCACAGTGGCCCTAGGAGGAAGAAGCTGGCAGGGATTTTCATTTTACAGAAAACAAAGGATGCCAAGACAGGGGAAGGACTTGCCCAAGGCCACACAGCCTAATGACCCAGCAGGCACTCAGATTCCCAGATCAGAATATAGCAAAATCTTACCCCTCCTTCCACGTGTACGTGTCTGTCCATGTGTTTAATCTCCCTGACATCTTGTCTCCTTATTTCCAGATGCTCAACTCTGATACTCCAGCCCTGTGGCACCCTAGACCCTCTTCTGCTGCAACCACAGGTCCTGGGAAAAAAGTGGGATCCGGGGCCCTGGGAGGAAGTTGAGCCCAGGGAAGGGAAGGGTAGGGGATAGTGAAGGAACCAGGAGCTGAGGGAGCACTTGAAGGGTGGGCAGAAGTGGGGGTTCCCAGTCTACTTCTCTCCCTTTCCTCTGCAGGCCCCCGGAGCCTCTCGCCTGACATGGACCTCTGCCCCCTCAGAGCGGCAGCTGCAGCGGGAGGCAGCTGAGGCTCTTGTGGGGCTGAAAGATTCGTCCCAGGCTCCCCGCCTGACCCCTTCTGTCTCCCCCAACCCTGCCTGGATCTCCCTGCTCCACCCTTGTGGCCCACCAGGTAACCTGTTCCCTGAAAGGAGAGGATGGGGTAGGGATGGTTGGGAAATGGAGATAGTGGAGTAAGCAGGGACTAACTAAGGAGATCAGGGGGCCAGCAGGTTGAACACCCTCCGGCCCAGGCCCCAAGCTTCTCAACCTAGCCCCTGGGATTGCAGTTGAGAGTTGTTCAGTGGGTCAGTTTTATCAGTTTTGTGCTCAAAAGCAAATGTCCAGTGCCCTCATGTCAAGGAAAGCTGGCCCGGAGATAGGTGGGGACTTGCCCAAGGACATATAGCAAGGCAGTGGCAGAGCCTGGTCTCCTGACTCCAGCCCAAGGCTCTCTCTCTGGACCCAAGCAGCATCTCTGCCTGCTGAAGTCTGGAGAGAGGCTGAAGAGGTAACAAGGGGCTGGCCTGGAAGGAGATCTGAAACTGCCTTCAAGGAGCTTCCATTCTACTTGGGGAACCTGGATGCCTTCACTAAGCTCAGTGACAAACCTGGAGAGAACTAGAGGAATCTTGAGGAATGCAAAACACCTATAGGGACAGAGAGGGAAGGCTGAGAATTCTCCTTTCCAAAATGGTGGATTGGGCATGGTGTGCGAGTGAGGATGCCGGCCTGGAGGAACTGCTGGAACAGGAGCTGAGGCTGCAGAGGCTTCTGATCGTGGAGGTCTGGCATGCCAGGCTTAGGGGTCCAGACCAGCAACTGTGCATGAAGGGAGCTAGGGAATGGCTCTGAGCTGGGCAGGGACATATTCAGAGACCCTGAGCTTTAGAAAGACAAGTATGGTGGCTGTGATGGAGAGATTGGAGGAGGAAAGAGTGAAAGTGGGAGAATCAACAAGGAGGACTTGTTTGGTATAATCCAGGTGAACAAGGATAACACCTGGATTGGATGGGGTAAAAAGAGGGGGCTGCTCGGAGGGGAAATGGATGTGACCTGGTCCTGCCCCCTTCCTTCCTGCCTATAGCTCCTGCTGGAGGAAGAGGATTCCAGCCTGTTGGCGCCTCTCTCCGACCCAGCCCAGCCCCCTCCGTGGCTCTGCATATTGGGCGTCTGGGGTCCATCTCCCTCCTAAGCTAGAAGCCCAGAGGTAGAGGCCTCGCTGGGGCAGGGGGCAACAGCCTGCAGGCACTGAATATTTGGTATTTTGTTTATGGATTTATGCATCAAATTTAATATAGTACATGCTTTAGGCTTTTTTTAAGCTTTCAGGTGCTTAGGTAGGTGTTAGCTTTTGGTTCCTTTTGTAGCATGGGCATTTCCTTGGCCAAAGGTGGATATTCTCTTACCCCACCTTGCACCCTGGGACCTTTTTAAATCCCTAGCAAAGAGAAAGTTGTGCAGTTTAAGCTAACCAATATCTAAATAGGTTTTTGCATGAATTCATATTCCCGGTATTTATTTGGCATGTGATTCTGTACATACCTGTGCACTCATGTCTGTCTCTATGCAGGCGAAAACAGGAGAACATTTTCATTTTGTGTCTAGGTTTATGTGAGTAAGCAAGAAATAAACCTTTGTTGTTTTAAGCCACTGAGATTTGGGGATTGTTTGTTACTTCAGCCTAAACCTCGTCTATCCTGACTGACAAAAAGGACTTGTTCAATTCACTTCTCAAAGTGAAAATCAGTTATTTAATAACTACCACCAAAAAACCACAAACCTCGATTTCTTATTATGGCCAGATAAGAAAGAGTAGTGGAAGAAGATAGTTGGCAATTCACTGATTAAATAATTAAGTGCCTATTCTGTGCCAGGCATAGACAGTTTCCAGCTGTCCAGAGGGCCACAAATTGAAATGCCTACACGGCCAAGCAGATCATACAAATGAGTAAAGAAAGGGCAGATGAGCCCTGGAAAACTAAGAATGTGTGCCCTAACTAAGGGGCAGCCTCCCTTTGGCCATAGCATGTTGTTGCCAGGCAGGAATGTGGGCTCAGTATTGCTACATGCAACATGGCTAAGACTCTTCTACTCAGGGCTGACCAAAGGTCCCCAGTACACCAAGGCCATACAGCGGGGAAGAGTAAAAGAGAAAGTATAATTTGGTGTTAAAGATGGCATGAGGGGCCTGCCCAGTGGCACAGCAGTTAAGTTCGCATGTTCCGCTTCGGTGGCCCGGGGTTTGCAGGTTCAGATCCCGGGTGCAGACATGGCAGCACTTGGCAAGCCATGCTGTGGCAGGTGTCCCACATATAAAGTAGAGGAAGATGGGGGGCCGGCCCCGTGGCTGAGCGGTTAAGTTTGTGCGCTCTGCTTCAGCGGCCCAGGGTTTCGCCGGTTCAAATCCTGGGCACGGACATGGCACCACTCATCAAGCCATGCTGAGGCGGCAGCCCACATGCCACAACTAGAAGGGCCCACAACTAAAACTACACAACTGTGAACCGGGGGGCTTTGAGGAGAAAAAGGAAAAATAAAATCTTTAAAAAAAAAAAAAAGTAGAGGAAGATGGGCATGGATGTTAGCTCAGGGCCAGTCTTCCTCAGCAAAAAAAGGAGGATTGGCAACAGATGTTAGCTCAGGGCTAAGCTTCCTCAAAAAAAAAAAAAAAGGATGGCATGAGAAAGGGGAGGAATAGAGAAATAAGGTGATGGAGACTGAGAAAAGGAGCTGGGAGCAGACCCATCTTTACAGGCCCTTCTCATTTCTCTGCAGCCCACCTCTCCTTCTTGCCAGACCTAGCAGGGCTTTTCACACCACTGGCTAGGCCTACTTTGCCTATCAAATATTAGGGCTGCCCCACTGGTGCCTGAGGGAGAGGGGCAGAAGCTCTGCAGAGGTCAGTCTTGGGGAAAAGGGTAGATTTAAGCATTGTTCATGCTCCTATGTCGCTGCCCCTTTGAGTGCAGAAACCTTTACCTGTGGTTGTGGGGAGCCAGTGTGCCCCTGGCCTCTGACCGGCCCTTGAAGATTACACGCCAGTGGACTATGAGCACTGTTTCATAGGCCACCCACTTTCCTATTTCCCATTGCAGTGCAAGGAAAGGTGTCGCCCGGGTCCAATAGGGTATTGAGTAAATCATCCCCCTTCTAAGCTTCCTGCATGTACCATCCTGATGTTCTGCAGAAATAACCAATGAGGTTCCAAATTTGAAGCACCATCCCTGATCCTTTCTCTCTAAACAAGACTCCTCCCCAACAGCCACCCAGGTTTTACTTCAGAAGCACATTCTACTCTTTGGGAATCCAAGCTCCTTTCACTTCAGCCCTATGTGAACCTGGTCCACTCCTGACCACACTCCTCGTCCAAAGTAGAACTGACAACATACTCCCCATCCCCATCCAGTTTCTACTCAGGCCCTCATTGCCTCACCCTTGTGGGCCCCATTCTGCACACCTGCCCCATTGTGTAACTGGCTCTGCAGCCCCCAACGTATGTTCGCATAGACACAGTCCTATAACCCACGCCCTGCATAGACCCTCATGAGATCCTGAGCTCTTCCCAAAAGCAAGATTCATCCTTTTAATCTGACTTAAAATAACGTCTCTGATAAGCCCCTTAGGCAGTTTCCTACACTCCTTAGGGGCCCTTGGCCTCTATTTCACAGGCCTGGTCACCCTGAGCTGTGCCTATCTCTGTCCAGCTGTGTCTCCCCCTCTAAGAATAAGTACTCTCAGGGGTCAAGGACTGCATTCAATTCCTCTCTGGGGATTCAGAGTAAATGACTAAGTAAACACGTCCTGTCTGATTCCTTAGCAATTGTTTTTTGCCTACAAAGTGAATGCATTCTAATGCTGCCTCTCTCCTCATCACAACATGAACAACTTCCTGCCCTCAAACCGTTTGGGTTTTTTTAACAGAGTTTTAGGTTCACAGCAAAATTGAGTGGAAAGCAAGAGTTCCCATAGTTTCCCTACCCCCACACAAACACAGCCCCCCCCCACTATCAACATCACCCACCTAAATGTGCATTTGCGACAGTTGATGAACCTACATTGACACATCCTTATCACTCAAAGTCCATAGTTTACATAGTTTGCATAATTTACATTACATTCACGCTTGGTATTGTACATTTTATGGGTTTGGACAAATGTATAATGACATGTATTCACCATTATAGTATCACAAAGAATAGTTTCACTGCCCTAAAATTTCTCTTGTGTTCCACTTTTTCATCTCTTCTCCCCTCCCCAACACCTGGCAACCACCGATCTTTTCATTGTTTCCATAGTTTTGCTTTTTTCCAGACTGTCATATAGTTGGAATTATACAGTATGCCTTTTCAGTTTGGCTTCTTTCACTTAGTAATATGCATCTAGGTTTCCTCCATGTCTTTTCACGGCCTGATAACTCCTTTCTTTTTAGCACTGAATAGCATTCCATTGTCTGGATGTACCATAGTCTCAAACCATTTTTAAAGTTTCTGTTGATAAAGTTATTGAAAAAGGTTGAGCAGTCATTAGTTGTGGATTCAAATCCCAGCTCAGGCTTTAACCTTACCTGACCTTGGTCAAGTAACTTGACTCTCTAAGCCTCAGTTGCCTGGTCGGAAACCACCCCACAGAGTTCTTAAGATTATGCACCTGTAAAAACTGACACCTAGAGAAATTAACAGCAAGGACCCAGTGCTGAGAAACCATGTTATCTAAAATCATATACTGTCAGAAGCGTTGTTCTTTGAAATGATAGCAATAGCGAGAAGGGGACATCTCACTCTTGCTCTGAGTTACTTTGACCCAGGCAGTCATGATTTCCAATCCAAGTGCAGAGCTTTAGAAGAGGGCTTTCTGGAGATAACATTGCACATTTATCTTAACCCTGTAATTTCCAAGGACACAGGACCCTGGGTCTGCTTCTCAGCCCGGGCATGATGTTGACTCCATTACATAGGGTCTGCTTTGCCTTGAGCCCATCAAAACTTTGCTTACTATAAACCTTACCTAAGCTTCATCCTTCCCCACATCCTATATTAATCCTGTCTCTTCCTGTTTGGTGAGGCACTATGCAGTTCCTCTGGAGAGCTTTTTCTTTTTAAATATTTAGTTAATTGACTGAAGTGAATTAAGCTTAAATGATTCAGCACTGATATTAGAAATGTACATCAGAAATGTATAAAAGGTGACTATTAGTTACCAAAGTATATGGACATTTACAGTTACACATGCATACAAATACATATTCAAACACACATATGTTGATTCTGGAGGAAAAAAATGAGATACTAAAACTATTCACAAGTTTTAAAAAGAGTGTAAAATAGGTTTCAACAACATTCTACATGAATGTAAAGTCCCCAATTTAAATACATGATATTATCACGCTAGAAACATGGTTGGTGTTATAGACTGAATGTTTGTGTACCCCCAAAATTCATATTTTGAACCTTAATCCCCAATGTGATGGTATTTGGCAGTGGTGCCTTTGGGAATTGATTAGGTCATGAGGGTGGAGCCTTTATGAATGGGATTATTGCCCTTATAAAAGACACCCCAAGAGTTCCCTTGCCCCCTTTCCACCATGTGAGGACTCAGCAAAAAGATGGCTGTCTATGAACCAGGAAGTGGGCCCTCACCAGACACCAAATTTGCTGGCACCTTGATTTTGGATTTCCAGCCTCTAGAACTGTGAGAAGTAAATTTCTGCTGTTTACAAGCCACTCAGTTTATGATATTTTGTTAGAGCAGCCAGAACCAATTCAGACAGTTCATTTTAATTTTTTAAACAGATATTGGTATAACATACCAGCTTATTAATAATTAAGGCATTTTGCACACACAATATCTCACTGTGGAAAAAATAAATATTCTCTGTTTTAAATTCTCAAGGTCATTTCAACATAAGAAAGTAGCTACACACATTTAAATGTTTCATTTTTGCAGCAGGTTAACAATTTTATTGGACCATAGGTGTGTCCCTAGTGTTCTTGGTTGTTGGACCTTACAAGGATTAAACTAGATCATGCAGGTAATATAGTCATCTCTCAGTCTCTGCGGGAAATTGGTTCCAGGAACCCCGCGGATACAAAAATCCATAGATGCTCAAGTCCCTTATGTAAAATGGCATAGTATATACATAAAATCGACACATATCCTCCCATATACTTTAAACCATTTCTAGATTACTTATAATACTTAAAACAATGTAAACGCTATGTAAATAGATGTTATACTGTATTGCTTAGGGAACAATGACAAGAAAAGAAGTCTGTACATGTTCAATAGACGCAACCATGGTAAGCCTTCCGATCCGAGGTTGGTTGAATCCGCGGATGCGGATGCGGAGAATACGGAGGCCAACTGTACTACATAACGTTTACCTGTGCCTGGCACACAGTAGGCACACAAAAAATTTTTGCTGATAGAAGTAATATCTGATGCATCATGTACCAGAGCAGTCGTTTAAAAGGGGCAAATAATTGGGATCTTGGTGTCTCAATTTAATTTTTCTTTTTTTTTTTTTTGATGGAGAGACTGAAGCCTTAAGAAGGGAAGTGGACAGCCTAAAGCTGCACAGGTCAAGCAAGGCCGATAAATTTAAGTGGGCCAGATAAGCCTAAGTGCAGAGCGAACAGTTAGGCACTAGGGG